GCTTCCCAACCACTATTATGAGACTCGTTGGTCTATAGTTTCTTGGATTATCCCTATTTCCTTTCTTGAACAAAACAAGGACATTAGCTACTCACCAGTCCTCTGGGACCTCTCCAATGGCGAGTGAGGATGCAGAGATCCTTGTCAAGGCCCCAACAACCTCCTCTCTTACCGCTCTCAATAACCTGAGATAAATACCATCAGGCCCTGGGGTCTTATCCACCTTAATGCTCTTCAAGAGACCCAACACCACTTCTTTCTTGATCTAAAAATGCCCTAGTATATTAGCATGCTCTACACAAATATCATTATCCTCCATATCTCTCTCCTGGGTGAATACCGATACAAAGTACTCATTTAGGATCTCGCCCACATACTCTGCCTAGTTGTTTGCTTTTCCAGCACCCTAGTTATCCTCTTGCTTTTAATCTATGTATAGAATGCCTTGGGATTCTCTTTAACCATACTTGCCAAGGTCATTTCATGACCCCTTGTTACTCTCCTAATTCCCTGCTTGAGTTCTTACTTGCTTTCTTTATATTCCTCATGGGCCCTGTTTGATGTTAGCTTTCTATTATGCTCCTTTTCCCTTTATGACTAAATTCACATCCTCCCTCATTATCCAAAGGTCCCTAATCTTGCCATCTTTGTCCTTCCTCCTTCCTGGAACATGCCAATCCTAAACTCCGATCAGCAGGTCATTAAACAACTCTCACATCAAATAAAAACTGAAAGAACTGCAGATGCCGAAAATCAGAGATAAAAATAGAAATTGCTGAAAAAGCTCAGCAGGTCTGGCAACATCTGTGGAGAGAAATCAAAGTTAGCATTTTGGGTTGAGTGGTCCTTCCTCAGATTACTAATCAGAGAGAATGTCACATCTGCACTCAGAGAGGACCCTTCCTCTGATTTCTATCTACAGATGCTAACACACCTGCTGAGCTTTTCTAGAAATTCCTATTTTTGTCCCCACGTGTCAAATGTGGATTTGCCTGATAACTGCTCCTCCCAATTAACACTCTCTAGCTCCTACCTAATACTGACGTAATTTCCCCTCCCCCAATTTAATACTTTTCAGCAAGATTCAGACTTATCCTTATTCATAGCTACCATAAAACTTCAGGAATTGTGATCACTGTTTCAAAAATGCTGACTCATTGGCAGGCTGGCCAGGCTCATTAGCCAAGACAAAGTCCAGTATGGCCCTTCTGTAGTTGGTCTATCCACATACTGTTTCAAGAAACCCTCTTGGATGCACTTAACAAATTCTGCCTTGTCTCAGCCTCTTGCTCTAAGAGAGTCAATACTGGGAAGTTAAAGTCACCCACTATGACAATCCTGTTCTTATTGCATCTTTCCATAATCTGCCTACATATTTATTCCTCAATGTCTCAGTGGCTGTTGGGGGATCTATAGTATGATCCTATTAGAGTGATTATACCCATCTTATTTTTGACCTCTACTCATATTGCCTCAGTGGTTGAGCCCTCCAGTAGTTTTCCTGGTACATTTTCTTTAATGATAGTGATTGTTTTAAGGTCTGGCCTTCTTTTGCACTTTGATTTCCTCTATTATTAATGGGATACTTCTTGTATTTTCAACAATGTAACCATTAGATTGAAAGTACTTGATCAAAGGCTTTGCCATTTCTCTTTAGATCTAATTCTATGGTCTCAACTTCTAAACTCACTTTGGCTACTCTTTTCTACATATTTTGTAGAAGCTTTTACTGTGTTTTGAGTTTTCTTGTTAGTTTACTCTGATATTCTAATTTCTTACTTTGTATTTTGTTAACCTTTGCTGATAAGTAAACGTTTCCCAATGTTTTAGCTAACTACTAGTCTTTGCAGCATTTTAAGCATTTTACTTCAATTTGGCACCATCGTTGACTTCCTCAGTTAGCTGTGGATGGTGCATTCTGTTCATAAGAGTCTTTCTTTTTCAATGGAATATATCTTTGTTGAGTATTATAACCTTATTTATGCATCTTATTCCTCTTTTCTACTTCTGTATGCTGGGGCACAAGCCCCCTCATCGACTTTAAACGTTTCACTAAAACACTAGTGAACCTATCTATGAAGCTATTGATCCCGACCCTGTTGAGATGTAGTCTGTTCCTCTTGAACCAATGCCTCCTGTCCCAGAACTGGTCCCACTACCCAACGATCTAAAGCCCCCAGACCTGTACCATGCATGGATTCTCCCTGTCTTCCTACTTCTATTCTTGGTAGTACTTGGCACAGAGAATAATCCAGAAGTTATTCCCTTTCACATCTTAGTTTTTAGCTTCTTCGTTCGGTTCTGAAATGCTAGAGGAGCTCAGTGACCAACTTCTCTCTGCTGCTTGTATTGATGTATTTCACAGTTTCTTGCTCACTAACTTCACTCAGCAGAACATTCTGCACTCTCTCTGTTAAATGCTTCACTGTGTTATATTCTGGCATCAAGGAGACAAGCACAAAAATGGGATTCATAGAAATCTCAGCCTGTCTCTCCCTGACAATAGTGCCTCCTACAAAAACTACATGTGCTGTTTCCTCCTGCGCACCACATTTTTGGCATGGCCTGGATCACAATCCCAGTAATTGCCAATGCCAAGTCCCTATTTGAAAGTGGCATAAACTCTTAAGACCTTTGCATTTCCTACCTCTTCCCACTTTTCTATATTTGTACACATCAGCCTTCCTAGCCTCTCGCTGCCTGTGGGGTGACTACGTCCTAGATCATATGATCTCCCTAAAACTCCATGATGACCCCAGCCGCCCCCTCAAGCTTAGAAGTCCTGAGCCCGAGGTCCAGCAGCTGGAATTACTCTCCACACAGTTCTTAAGAAGAATCATACTAGACATGAAACATTAACTCTGTTTCTTTCTCTGCAGATGCTATCAGACCTGGTGAGTTTCTCCCACATATTTTGTGATTGCTTCAGATTTCCAGCATCCACAGGATTTTGCCTTCATTACTTTCTACCCCGGTGTCTGGCTGAAAAAATATCCAGGTTGGTGCTGGAAAAGCAAGCAACAAGTTTCAGGCATCCTCAATCTAAGGAGAAAGTTAATAAACATTTTTCCGCACCTTTAAATTTTAGCTAGTACCTTGATATGGAATCATAGCATCATAGTGTCATACAGCACTAAAGAGACCTTTTGGCCATTGAGTCTGCACCGAGCCCATAATCTTGAATGTCATCTCTTTTCAAGTGCTCATTCACATATATTTTAAAGGTTGTGAAGTTTCCCACCTCAACTACCCTCCCAGGCAGTGCATCCCAGATTGCCACCATTCCTGGGTGAAAAAGTTTATCCTCAAATCCCCTCTAAACCTTTCACCTTGAAATTATGTCTCCTTGTTATTGACCCCTCAATTAAGGGCCAGTCAATTCCTTCCATAAAAAGAATTTAACCTATTTTTCTAACCAACCTGTTCAGGGATGGTATTACACATATCTGGAACAGGTGGGACTTGAATCCAGGCCTCCAGGTCCAGAGGTAGGGCCCAAAAATATGGAATTCTTCATGAATTTGCATGCCAGGACCATGTTAATCTTCACTGTGTCATTCCAAATCTTGTTCATGCTTCTCATAATCTTACACACTTCTATCAGATTCCCTTTTAGCCTTCTCTGCTCTAAAGAAAACAACCAGGACTCATCCAACCTCCCACCATAGCTGACATGCTCCACCTCAGGTAAAATTCTAACGAATATCCACTGCACATCCTCCAGTGCAATCACATCCTTCCTATAGTGTGATGATCAGAACTGCACACAACACTGCAGCTGTGGCCTAACCAAAGTTCTGAACAGCTCCAACACAATTTCCCCGCTCTTATATTTAATGACGACTGATAAAAGCAAGATTTCTGTTTGCCTTCTTAAGGACAGGAAGTAAAATGAGGCATGTTGATCTTTTGACACATTATCAGATTCCAGGTATTCCTGGATAACTCACTTATCATTATCTTATTGTCAACATATCATGGTTGTGGTTTAAGAACGCAGTTTGTTCCATGTGGAGATTATAACACAATTAACCCACCCTGCTGCTTTCAGGGATCTGTGAACAAGCAGCTCAAGATCCCTCTGTTCCTCTGAGCATCCTAGTGTTTTATCATTCATTGAGTACTCCCTTGTCTTGTTCCTTCTTCCAAAGTGCATCACCAGACACTTACCATGGTTAAATTTCATTTGGCACTGGCCTGCTCATCTGACCAATCCATTTATATCTTCCTATAACCTAAAACATTCTTCTTCATTGTCAACCACCTGGCCAATTATTCTGTCATCTGCAAACTTACTTATCTTCTCTCCCACATTCTCATCTATATTGTTTATACATGTCTCGAACAATAAGGGACCTAGCCCTGATCTCTGTGGCATGCCACTGCATACAGGTTTCTAGTCATATAAACAGCCTTGTACCACCACCCTCTGTCTCCTATCACTGAGCCAATTTTGGATTCATCTGGCCAGGTTACCGTGAATCCTGCATGCTTTTACCTTCTTTATCTCCCATGTGGAACCTTGGTTGAACTATTAAATTTAATTAATGTCACTCAACCTCAGCTCTCAGACCTCTCCAACAGCTGTTGTTTCTCACACTACTTTTTTTTGAGGTACCATTTTCTCCCTCTCACAAACTTACCTCTCACGAAATGTCCAAGCTTGGTTCTTTATCGAAGCAGCACTCCATGGAACTAAGCTCTCTACTACTCACCCAAAATAAAACAGTGAGATAAACTAGCATGCTGATGCTTTTACTCATTATTGAACACTTGCCACTGAGCAAGTAAAATGAGGCATATTGATCTTTTGACATGTTAGCAGACTCCAGGCATTCATGGATAACCACTTACCATTATCTTATTGTTTGCATTTCGTAGTTGTGTTTGAAGAACCTGGTTTGTTCCATGTGGAGATCAATCAGCACTTATGGACAGTTCATAACAACTTCAATGTGGCATCACTGAAGTGATGGTGTTATCAGGCAATGAGAAAGTTCTACAATGTAAAACACATTTATTGAATATTTTCTTGAATAAATTGCTTGTGAGTCCACATACATTTTCAATGCAGAAAAAGGCAATGATTATTCACTTCGGACATACTATAATCAACAAGTAACATTTATCTCCTGGCTGTTTCTCATGATATATAAGCAGAGTGAGAATTACTATACATAGAGGGCAGCTAGCTTTTTCAGGCAAGTTTACAAATTTATTGAAGCTGCTGCTGAAATATGTAAGTCATTATAAGTAAACAACTCCTGAATTTATACATTTTACAGAGTATACTTTTACTTGTCTGTTGGAAGTAGAAAACTGAGTGAACCGAATTCTAGAATTGACGAACACTATTTGGCTTGAAATAAAGTTGTCTCTTACAGAACCCATGATTAGACTTTCAATCTGAGCTAACAGTGTGTCTTTCTGAGGGGGCAGCTATGCTATAAATGTCTGAAATGATGTGATGTTTTGTGAAAAGACTGTCAAGGTTAGTACTGAAAGAGAGCAGAAACAGTGGGTTTTTTGTGTCTAACAAAGAATTTATGAATTAAATATTACAATCTCTCATAGGCAGTTTTTGATATGGGCATTAAGTAGCTTCTAGGTAAAATTGCCAGATTAAAAACAAGACCAACACGAATAGTGAGAAGGAAGCTGATATTATTAGTCTCAATTTTAATAGGCAAATATTAGACACATGATAAAGACAAATTTTTTAAATTTCCAGCAGAACATTCAGCCAAAAATTTTACTTGAATTCTTAATCTGGAAAGAGAAGAAATCCACTGAAGATACTGTCGTGATCTTCTTTACCCATCATGGCATTGTAATCTGTTACTTCAAGCCAAACCTCGTCATTGACCTGCAAGTGGAGTACAATTCCTCCAGAACTGGTCTGGTAGAACTGGCCGTGGTTGCAGAAGCCAACTTTCTTTATTCCATTCATGTTCAAATTAACGCATAAGTTGTTATCTGATGTTGCGTAGTACACAAAGTAATAAAAGCCAGTTATGTTACAAGTGAACACACCTGTGTCGCTGTTGTAGTGATTTTGGTCATTGGATATGATTTTACTAAATCTGATGTGGGTGTCCCGTGGTGGATATGTGTGCCCCCCTCTTTTTGCAGAAAATGCAGATTTCAATGTGCGTTTGTGGTCCCCTGATTGCCCCATTCCCCCTTTCTCTCCCACAATGCCTGGAATCCCTCTTTCCCCTGCAGGCCCCCTGCGCCCTCTTTTTCCAGCCGGGCCTGTGTCTCCTGCATCACCTTTCTCACCATCTTCACCCTGAGAGAAAGCGAAGCCAGGGACACCTGTCAAAAAGCAAAGATAAAACACAAAATCACCATGTAACAAACTTTAAAATGTATCTGTGATGTGATGGACTAGTAGATAAATCAAAATGGTCCATGCCAGCCAGAATGTACCACTGCCTAGCCTGGATAAATGTGAATAGCAGCAGACTCCAAAATCACCCAGCAGGTCCAAAAAGAGGCTGTTCACAAACTAGATGGGCTTTTCTGACCATCAGTAATAATTTTTTGGTCAATATCAGAGAGACTAGCTTTTAATTTCAGATTCTGTTAATTGAAATTACAACCCACCAGTTCCTTGGATGGGATTTGAACCTACATCCCCAGGGCCATAGCCTGGGCCTACATGACTGCTGGCCAGAGCCATTACCACAACACCAGCCATTCAGCATTACAATTTCAGGATCAGCAGCTATCCTACCGTGTCACCAGCTGCCTCCAATAGGTTGGTTGTACTGGCTAGATTGCCTCTTAAAGAAATATTTATTAACAAACACACAAGAAAACCTGCCAATGAGTTGCCAGTTAGAAATCTGGTGAACTCACCAACTCCTGAACTATCTCACCTTTCCAAGGGTCCCACTTCCAACAGCCCAGAAAAGCTTTATTCTTAATACAAAAGTCAGTGGAACTTGTAGACATTAACATTTGTGTGTGAGAGATAGTAGGAACTGCAGATGCTGGAGAATCCGAAACAACAAGGTGCAGAGCTGGATGAACACAGCAGGCCAAGCAGCATCATAGGAGCAGAAAAGCTGACGTTTCGGGCCTAGACCCTTCATCAGAAAACATTTGTGTGTCATGGTTTGTGGGTTAGGTAATTATGCAAATGTGGTGGATAATATAAAACTAAATAAATGTTTTAATATTTGTCTATATATTTGCCTCTTGATTATAGTTTGAGAAGTAGAATTATCTGTTATGTTTAATAACATTTATACCCAGGTGATCTCCACAAGTAATACTGGGATTAGAGTGCAGATAGAGCATGGCATTCAGACAGTAAGTGAGGACAGGGTTACATTAAGCAAAGAACTCTAACAGTTTGGAACGAGCTCTTGCATAATGTAAATAAAGCAAAAGCTGAGGGAACAATATTCCTCAATGTCATTTTCCACCACCATAACCACTGCAAATTCTGTATCGTGAAATGATCTCTGCTCCTGCCCCCATTGAGAATATTTTCTAATTGTGGGATTGTGGATGTCTTTAGCAAGTTTGGCAGTTATTTCCCTCTACTCTTAGCTGAGTGGCTTGCTTGCCAGTTAAATAGAAGTTTGGGGCTGGAGTCCACTGTCGGCCAATCCGGGTAATGGTAGGAGATTGCTTCCCTGAGGGAATATTAATGAATCAGTTTGGTAAGCAGAGACAATCTGAAAGGCTAATGGCCAAAGCAGATGGTAGAGTACTGGTAATTTTACTGAACTAAGAATTCAGAGGCCTGCACTAATGCTCTGGGGGCATGAGTTCAAAGCCCACCACAGCAGCTGGGGATTTATATTCAATTCATTAATAAATCAATCTCATTCTTAACGATCAGAAAACTGTTGGTTTGGTATAAAACCCATCTGCTTCACTGATTCCGTTTAGGGAAGGAAATTTGATATCTTTACCTGCTCTGGTTTCCTTGTGGACTTTATACCTACGGTAAGGGTAGTCAACTTGTAATCACCCTCTGGGATGGTTAAGCAAATCACTTAGTTGCAGATCTCTAATACCGCCAGCTGAAGGGCAATTGCAGGTGGGCAATAAATACTGTCCTTGCCAATCTTGCCAATTTTGCAAAATTGAATAGATTAAAAAAATTCTTCTGGGGTCAGAGCAAGGCAATTTCATTTCATCAAATTGGCAAATACATGGGTGAGCATGGGCACATCGCAATGCCTACAAAGGGTGTGGGACGTGATAGTCGTGCTGAGACTGAGTGAAGGAGCTAATGTGAAAAGCCAATTGGAAAGGCCACACAATAAGCTGAGAAAAATATTTACATGGTCAGTTGTGCCAGCTTACCCCTTTGCTCAATACTACATCAGGGCTGGAATTGGTCATATCAGTACTCACTCCCCACAGCTCTCCAGCAGCCTGGGTAGCAGCATCTTGCTTGGATTTACACAAGTCTTCACTCTGGAATAGTACCCAGGCTCCATATATATACTTGGAACGTTTTAAACTTTTAAAGAAAAATCACAATAAACATTTGAAGTTGGGAAGCTAAAGACCTCGGAGCTAAAGAGTTTTGGAATGTGGGACAGTGACAGTAATTTTCAGCTGTCCTAGGAAAGTCATACTTTGATATAATGGGCCAAACAGCTTCCTTTAGTACTATAAATCCTAATGGTCTACTTGGGTGGCATTGGCAATGTCCAGGGTGAAGCCAGAGCAAACTCCTGGCTTCATCGTGAACTTGCAGTCTCAAGGTAAAGTCCAACGCATACCCCCAGCCTCAAGGCGAAGCCCAGCGCAGACTACAAGCCTCGAGGTGAAGCCCAATGTATAGTCCCGGCCTCGAGAGTCTCGAGGTGAAGTCTGCCCTGCACGGACTGGAGGTTAGTGTAGAGTTGCCTGCTCTGTCTTCTTTGCTTGGAAGGAATATAATTCTGAATTTTTTATTTCTTTATTCTTCTCACTTATTCCTAAGAATTTGTACGGAGAAACTTTTATACCTGAGATGACATGGAGGTCTGTAATACTGGACTTCACATTTCCATTCTTTTTCGAATTTATTCTGAAGAATTTGTACCTATGTACCTGTGTATCTAAAATGGCACCATATGCAGAGACTTTGTAAGCTTTTCACTGTGTCTGTGTGAGTATATGTGACAACAAACCTAATTCTAATTCTGATTCTAATAAGAGCCCATTTCTGTCACTCTATACACTGGTTAGATGCTTCTAAGTTGTTTATGCTGGAATAACTGATTTAATGTTTGGACCTATAATGTGAACACAACATTAACGTGGTTTATTGTGGTTCTACTGGTTTACCTGGATCTCCTTTTGCTCCTTTTATGCCATTTCTACCATCTTTGCCAGGTATCCCTGGTATTCCATGACAACCAGGCACCCCAGGGATTCCAGAATTGGTTTCGAACCCTTGAATTAATGAACTCAGTATCGACGCCAGTAGCATCAGCGAAATGACAACCATTGTGCGCCTGAAAAATGTGCAGCCAGAACCTGGCCAGCAAACGTATGGATCTGAATATCACACAATCAAATTATACATTTAGAAACACAAAACATCAGGTAGAATTACAATGAAATTCGATTGCAAAGAAGTAGGTTACATTTAGGATAATTAAATCTTTTGTTATCTATGATTCTCCAAGAAAGAGCAGCAATTTTCAATTAGAACTCTCTCCACAATATCTGTGTGTGTTGCCCCATCTAGTGGTTAGTATGTCACTGTGTCCTTGATGCAGATTTAACTAAAGTCAACTTGAGGCAACAAACTGGAGCCAATGACATTTGAGCCTGACATGTTAAGTAGCTGGGCAATTGAGCTTGATAATAAAGGGCTGGTCAAGAAATACAGATTCTGAGGATAACTAATTAAAATTAACGATAGCATTGAATTGAAATGCTTTTACAGAGATTTCCTGCCCAGCAGTCCAACAGCCAGGAAGATTGACAATCTGAAAGCCTGACAGCCAGTCTGTCTGATGGACTGGTTACCTGATAGCCATTTTGATTGACAGACTGACAGCTAATCTGACTGACAACCTTGAAGCCTGACAGATGGGTTGACTAACCAGTTAAAAGCCTGACAGCTAGTCTGACAGTTGGCCTGTTGAGTGAGATAGGTAGAAAGACAATGTCACTGCCACAGCCCAGGAGTAGAGATGGAGGAGATGGCATTGTGGTTGGGGCTTGGGGAGGTGACTGGTACTCTGGTGTGCTGTGTTGTGATGTGATGTGATGTGAATCCACAGACAGCGAGATGTATTGTGCTCAGTGATGATATTTTGTGGTTTACCATATATACATCAGTCTGACTAATATACCACAAAGAGTCAGGTTCTTCTAGAGTCAGATATCTGAAATTTATTTACAACATTAAATATTTACAAAGTTATGATATCACAGAGACATAGGAATATAGGAACACGAGTAGACTATTCAGTCCCGCAAGCCTATTCTATCATTCAATGAGATCACAGCTGATCTGTGCCCTAATACCACTGCTTAATAAAAATTTATCCATCTCAGATTTAAAACTAACAACTGATCTAACATTAATGACTGTTTGTGGAAGAGAGTTCCAAACCTCTTGAAATCCTTTCTGTGAATAAATGCTTCTTAACATCTCTATTGAACAGTTGAGCCCCAATTTTCAGTCTATATCACAGTCTGGGTTTTAATCTTAGTGATGTTACAGAGATGGCTCAAATATGGAGGAAAGAGCTGAATTTCAGAGGGCAAGTGAGAGTGACAGTGATATCAAGGTCACATTTCACTGAGTGTAGCACCAAGGAGCCTGGTAAAACTGGAATCAACGGGAATCGGGGGAAAGTTCTCTTCTGGTAGGAGTCATACCTAGCACACAGGAAAATGATTGTGGTTGTTACAGGTCAGTCAACTCAGCTCTGGGACATCTCTGCAGGAGTTCCTCAGGGTAGTGTCCTAGGCCCAACCATCTTCAGCTGCTTCATCAATGGCCTGCCTCCATCGTAAGGTCAGAAGTGGGGATGTTCACTGTTAATTGCACAATGTTCAGCACCATTCATGACTCCTCAAATACTGAAGATGTCCATGTTCAAATGCAACAAGATCTGGACAATATCCAGCCTTGGGCTGACAAATTTGCTCCCGCAAATAATAGGCAATAACCATCTTTAATAAGAGATGATCCCAGCATCTCCCCTTGATGTTCACAGGCATTACTAGAACTGAATCCTATACTGTCAACATTCTGCAGTTTACTATAGACCAAAAACAGAACTGGACTCACCATATAAATACAATGGCTACGGAAGTGGGTCAGAGGCTAGGAATACTGCAGTGAGTAACTCATCCCTTGACTCCCTAAAGCCTGTTCACCATCTATGTCAGGAATGTAACGGAATACTCACCACTTGTCTGGATGAGAGCAGCTTCAACAACACTCAAAAAGCTTGACACCATCCAGGACAAAGCAGCCTGTTTGCTTGGCACGAAATCTGCATCCATTCCCTCCACGACTGACACTCAGTAGCAACAGTATTGTGCTGTAGTGATGTGTGTTTTTTAGTCTGGCGTGATAACTTCACTATCTGAGTCATCATCCTGCGTGATAGCCAGTTGATTATACGCAATTCGGTTGTGTTGTTACTTCTTTAGGTTCTGACCATTGTTCTTAACACATCATATGACATAGGCTGCACACAATGAAATAGTATCCTTTCATGTCTCTGCATGACAATCTCAACCCTGATACTTTGTCTTGGTTCACATTGAGTAAGCAATATCAGAGACAATGGGCTATGGGCCCTGACAACATTCCAGCAATAGTATTGAAGACTTGTGCTCTGGAACTTGCCGCTCCCCTAGCCAAGCTGTTCCAGTACAGTTACAACACTGGCATCTACCCAACAATGTTGAAAATTGCCCAAGTATGTCCTGTACATAAAAAGCAGGCCAGATCCAATCCAACTAATTACTGCCCCATCAGTCTACTGTCGATCATCAGTGAAATGATGGAAGGTGTCATCAACAGTATTCAGCAATAACCTGCTCAGTGACGCCCGGTTTGGGTTCTGCCAGGACCACATAGCTCCTGACCTCATTATAGCCTTGGTTCAAACATGGACAAAACAGCTGAATTCGAGAGGTGAGGCGAGTGTGACAGCCCTTGATATCAAGGCTGCTTTTGACCAAGTGTGGTATCAAGGAGCCCTAGAAAAACTGGAATCATTGGGTATCGGGGGCAAACTCTCCAGTGGTTAGATCATACCTAATACATAGGAAGATGTTCACGGTTGTTGGGGGTCAATCATCTCAGCTCCAGGACATTTCTGCAGGAGTTCCTCAGGGGAGTGCCTTAGGCCCAACCATCTCCAGCTGCTTCTTCGATAACGTTCCCTCCATCGTAAGGTCAGAAGTGGGAATGTTCACCGATTATTGCGCAATGTTCAGCACCATTTGCGGCTCCTCAGACTCTGAAACAGTCCATGCCCAAATGCAACAAAACAATAGCCAAGCTTGGGCTGACAAGTGGCAAGTAAGATTCGTGCCACACAAATGCCAGGCTATGACCATCACCAAAAAGAGACAATCTAACTACTGTGCCTTGACATTCAATGGTGTTACCATCACTGAATCTCCCACTATCAACATCCTGGGAGTTATCATTGATCGGAAATTCAACTAGACTCACCACATAAATACAGTGGCTACAAGAACAGGTCAGAGGCTAGGAATACTGCAGCAAGTAAATCACCTCCTAACTCCTCAAAGCCTGTCCACCATCTACAAGGCACAAACCAGGAGTGTGATGGATTACTCCCCACTTGCCTAGATGAATGCAGCCCCAACAACTCTCAAGAAGTTTGACACCATCCAGGACAAAGCAGCCCGCTTGATTGGCACTATATCCACAAGTATCCACTCCCTCCACCACCGATGCTCAGTAGCAGCAGTGTGTAGTATCTACAAGATGCACAGCAGAAATTCACCAAAGATCCTCAAACAGCACCTTCCAAACCCACAACCACTTCCATTTAGAAGGACAAGAGCAGCAGATACATGGGAACACCACCACCTTCAATTTCCCCTCCAAGCCACTCACCATCCTGACTTGGAAATATGTCGCTGTTCCTTCACTGTCACTGGGTCAAAACTGTGGAATTCCCTACAAAATGGCATTGTGTGTCAACCCACAGCAGGTGGACTGCAGCAGTTCAAGAAAGCAGCTCACCATCACCTTCTCAAGGGCAATTAGGGATGGGACAATAAATGCTGGCCAGACACCCACATCACGCAAAATGAATCAAAGCAAATTGTACACAGATAGCCTGGTTTCACTGCTTACTGACGTTACTGAAAATGACACAAACACCCAACTGACTACAGTGACTGCATTGCACAGAGACAGTGACTGTAAGAGTGGTGGTACTTTTATGCTGGAATGTGACATATTGTGTTGTAATGTAATTGTCTTAAAGTGGCAGTGCCTGTCTGGTCTGGAATCTGTGCCAGAACATAACAGTCAGCTATGGAGAATGTGGCCTTCTGGATCAGATGGTTGTTGGAGAGATCAGTGGGAGTGCAAGTTTGTGTGGAAGGTGGAGAGACTGGAATGGAGACTGGAAGACTGGAGAAAGTTTGCAAAGGAGGTTGTGAAGTTGGGTAAAATGTTTGTTGACAGTTAATGATGAGGAGTACAGTCTGACTGTGTATCTACTATTTAAATTAAAAAGTGGAGTGTAACTGTGTATTGATAGTTAACAGTGAGAATAGAGTCAGACTATGACAGGAAATAACAGGGTGTAGTAACAGGAGGAGACTGTCTGACTGAGTGTTAATGGATATCAATGAGAAGTACAGTCTAAAAGTTGATAATTTACACTGAAAAGTACAATCTGACTGTATGTTGACATTGTACATCAAGAAATATATCCTGCCAGTATGTTGACAGTTTATACTTAGGAATAAAGTCTAAATGTATCCTAACAGTGAACAGTGATTTATTTGCAGACTCTGTGCTAACAGTTAAGACTAAGGGGTAGAGTGTGGACAGTGAGCAACAAGAAATACAATCTAACTTTGTGTAGAGAGGTAACAGTGAGATTTTAATTCAGACTGATACTGATGTATCACAACTAAACGCTAGAGGGTGTGAAGTCAAAATTTTTCATCACGTGCTATTATACAATCAACTCTCAGACTGTCTTTGAGCAATATGAGCCATATCTTAATCTGTGTAAATGCTGCGGCGACAGGGTCCAACAAGAAGCTTGTTTAGTGATGGTAAGAATAAAAGATTTTCATCCCTTTGCTTTGGAAACAGCTCTCTGATGATTTTTTCAGAACATGAGTCAATTAAAATTATCACTGGATGTGACAGCTTTAATAGCTTAACTTTCTAAAGTCTAAAATAGCACCTTACTGTCAAATTCTTGAATAGTTGAATAGCATTATCTCCCTATGTACCTCAAATGTTACTTTCATGTTTCGGTTTTGAATTATATAATGATGAAGGGGTTAAGTTCATTTCAAGTTTTCAGTCATGATACATGATAAACAATTTATGTTATAAACAATGTTAATATTTCAACAACTTTATTCTGCTGAATTTTATGTTAAGAGATTAAGTTCTTACCTTATTGAAACTTGAAGCTTTCAAACGAGAACACCCAGATCAGACTTTAACGGATTCTCAATGATTCGAGCAATTCTGAATACTTCTTGGTTAACCTGGAACACTGGGAGGGAGGAAGGGAGGGAAGAGTGATGTAAGAGGGCTGCTGCTCATGCCAAGTCCTCTGTCTGAACTCTGACAATGCCAACTTTCAGTTCCCTATTTTATTCGTTTTGTTATTATTGGCCCTAAAGTTGTTTGTAAAAATGTATACTATTTTGTTTCAGCCAAGGAAGATAAAAACATGCAAAATTCGAGCCCAATCCATTTATTTGGTTGTGCTCATTGTTTCTAACACTGAAAAGAAACATATGGATGTGAAATGGATTAACTCACAACATACCAGACATCCTGATAATCATAAGACCTTAAGATATAGGAGCAAAATCAGGCCATTTAGCCCAAAATATCTGCACCACCATACAAACATGGCTAATATGTTTCTCAACCCCATTCTCCTGCCTTCTCCCTGTAACCCTTCATCATCTTACTAACCAAAAACCTATCTACCTTATTTTTAAATACACTCAATGACGTTGCCCCCACAACCTTCTGCAGCAAGGAGTTCCACAGATTCACAACCCTCTGGCTGAAGAAATTTCTCTTCATGTCTGTTCAAAAGGGTTGTCCCTTCACTCTGAGGCAGTTACCTTGGATCCTAGTCTCTCTCCTACTAATGGAAACATCTTCTCCACATCCACTCTATCCAGGCCTCTCAGTATACTGTAAGTTTCAATGAAATCCCACCTCATCCTTTTAAACTCCATCAAGTGTAGACTCAGAGTCTTCAACCGTTCTCATATGACAGGGCCTTTGTCCTTGGATCATTCTTGTGAACCTCCTGTGAACCCCCTCCAACACCAACACATCTTTCCTTAGATACAGAGCCCAAAACTGCTCACGATATTCTAAATTCCAAATGACCAGAGCCCTGTACAGCTTCAACAGTACATCCCTGCTCTTGTATTTTAGCCCTCTTGAAATGAAAGCTAACATTGCATTTGCCAGAGATAGTAAGAACTGCCGATGCTGGGGAATCTGAGATAACAAGGTGTAGAGCTGGATGAACACAGCAGGCCAAGCAGCATCAGAGGAGCAGGAAAGCTGACGTTTCGGGTCTAGACCCTTCTTCAGAAATGGGGGAGAGGAAGGGGATTCTGAAATAAATAGGGAGAGAGGGAGAGGCAGATAGAAGATGGATAAAGGAGAAAATAGGTGGAGAGGAGGCAGACAGGTCAAGGAGGCAGGGTTGGAGCCAGTAAAGGTGAGTGTAGGTGGGGAGTTAGGGAGGAGATAGGTCGGTCCAGGGAGGACGGACAGGTTAAGGAGGTGGGATGAGGCTAGTAGGTAGGAGATGGGGGTGGGGCTTGAGGTGGGAGGAGGGGATAGGTGGGAGGAGGGACAGGTTAGGGAGGCGGGTACGAGCTGGGCTGGTTTTGGGATGTGGTTGGGGGAGGGGAGATTTTGAAGCTTGTGAAGTCCACATTGATACCATTGGGCTGCAGGGTTCCCAAGCAAAATAAGAGGTGCTGTTCCTACAACCTTCAGGTGGCATTGTTGTGGCACTTCAGGAGGCCCAGGATGGACATGTCATCCAAGGAGTGGGAGGGGGAGTTGAAATGGTTTGCGACTGGGAGGTGCAGTTGTTTGTTGTGAACCGAGCGTAGGTGTTCCGCAAAGCGGTCCCCAAGCCTCCGCTTGGTTTCCCTGATGTAGAGGAGGCCACAACGGGAACATTTGCCATCCTAACTGCCAATTGAACTTGAATGTTAACCTTAAGAGAATCCTAAACTTGGACACTGAGGTCCCTTTGTGCTTCAAATTTCTAAGCATTTCCCCATTTAAAATAGCCTATGCCTCTATTCTTGCCACCAAAATGCATAACCTCATACTTTGCCATATATTCCATCTGCCTCTTCTTTGCCCACTCTTGTAGCCTGTCTACGTCTTTCTGCAGCCTCCCCACTTCCTTACCACTATTTGTTCCTCCACCAATCTTTGTGTCATCTGCAAACTTAGCAACAATGCCGTCAGTTTCTTTGTCCGGATCGTTAATGTATAATGTGAATAGATGTGGTTCCAACACGGACCCCTGTGGAACTGCACTAGTCACCGGCTGCCATCCTGAATAAAACGCCCTTATCCACACTTCTTTCCTTCTGCCAGTCAGCCAACCCTCTACCTTGCCCCTAACACCATGGGCTCCTATCTTATTTAACAGCCTCCTGTGCAGCACCTTGTCAAAGGCCTTCTGGAAATCCAAATAGATCATGTCCCCTGGCTCTCCCTTGTTTAACTTGCTTGTTACCTCAAAGAATTCTGACAGATTCATCAGGCATGATTTCCCTTGATAAAGCTGTGCTGATTCAGCCCTACTTTACCACGCACTTCTAAATACTCTGCAATCTCATCCTTAATAATGGACATTGAAATCTTACGAACAACTGAGGTCACGGTAACTGGTCTATAATTTCCCGCCTACTGCCTCCATGCCCTCTTAAACAGGGGTATTACATGAACCATTTTCTCGGGTCCATTCTGATTCCCTTGATTCCTGAAAGATCACCAGCAATACCTCTATGATCTCCTCAACTGTCTCCTTCAGAACTCTGGGGTATAGTCTATCTAGTAATTTATCCACCTTCAGACATCTCAGATTCCCCGATACATTCTCCTCAGTGATGGCCACTACAGTCACCTCGGCATCTGACTCTCTGGAAGTTCTTGTGTGCTACTGGTGTCTTCCACTGTGAAAACTGATGCAAAATACGTATTCAATTCCTCTGCTACTTCTTTGTTCCCCTTTAATACATTTCCAGTCTCATTTTCCAGTGGTCTAATGTCCACTCTTGCCTCCCTCTTATCTTTTATATATCTTTTTTTTAAAATCTTCTTTTATATTACAACTCACTTACACTCATATTTCATCTTCTCCGTCTAATTTTGTTTTGGTTGCCTTCTAGTTTTTAAAGGCATCCCAAACCTCTGGTTTTTTTACTAATCTTTACCACATTGTATGCTTTTTCTTTTGCTTTTATGCTGTTCCTGACTTCCCTTGTCAGCCGTGATTGCCTCATTCTCCCTTTGTATGTTTCTTCTTTTTTGGGATGAGTTTCTGCTGTGCCTTCCAAATTACCCCCAAAACTCCTGCTATTGCTGCTCTACTGTCTTTCCTGCAAGGCTTCTTTTCTAATCAACTCTGGCCAGCTACTCTCTCCTGTCTTTGCAATTTGTAGTTACCTTTACTCAATTGTAATGCTGTTACATCAGCTGATTCCAGCTTCTCCCTCTGAAACTGCAGAGTGAATTCCATCATTTTGTTGTCACTGCCCCTGAGGCGTTCCTTCACCTTAAGCTCCCTTATCAAATCTGCCTCATTACACATCACCAAATCCAGAATTGCCTGTTCCCCAGTGGGCTCCACCACAAGCAGCTCCAAAAAACCATCTTGTAGACATTCCACAAAATCCTTTTCTGAGGATCCGCTTTCAACCTGATATTCTCAATCCATCTGCATGTTGAAGTCCCCATGATTATTGTAATAGTGTTTTTCTTATATGCCTTTTCAATCTCCTAATTTATTTTCGGTCCCATATCCTGAATACTGGTCAAAGGCTTGTACGTAACTCCCACCAGGGTTATATTTGCTTTGCAGTTCCTCAAATCTACCCACACAGATTCTACACCTTCCAACTTTACAGCCCTTCTTGCTAGCAATTTAATTTCAATTCTTACTAACAAGTCATCCCCGCCTCCTCTGCCTATCTTCATGTCCTTTAGAAACCTTTAGATATTTAGTTCCCAGTCCAATACCTTTGCAGTCGTGTCTCTGTGATGCCCAGAGAAGGGAATAATAAAAGAAACACAAAAGAAGGAAGTCTTATAGTTATCCAGTACTTTTCATGACCACCAGCCATGTCAAAGGGCTTTACTTTTTATTTTACTAAAGAACTTTAAGCAAAGTGTATTCAATTTTGGAATCTAGGAAATGTGGCAAACAATTTGCACAGAGCAAATTCCCATAAAGAGCCATGTGACACTGACCAGATAATCTGCTTTTTTTGATGTTGATACTGAGACAGATATCAGCCAGATCACTTGGAGAACCTCTCTGATTTTTAAAATAGAACCTTGGTATCTTTGATGTCAACCAGGTTAGAAATGTTGTCTTGGTTAACTGTCTAATCTAAAAGACATCAACTGTGACAATACACTATTGCTTCAGTACTGCAATGAAAAGTTAATCTTGAATCTTGCAATCAAATCCTAAAGAGGGGCTTTCCCTCAGACATGAAGTTTTGATACCCATTTACCTCATCCCTCCCCCATATTCAAGGGCCCAAACATACCTTCCAAGTGAAGCAACACTTGGCCTGCTCTTCCCAGAATCTAGTCTACTGCATTTGCTGCTCACAATGTGGTTTCCTGTACATTGGGTAAATGGAGCATAGACTGGGTGACCGCTTCACAGAACATCTACATTCTGCTTGCAAAAAAAAAACCCTGAGCTACCTGTTGCCTGCCACTTTAACACACCACCCTGTTCCCTGGCTAACATCTGGCTTGCTGCAGTGTTCCAGCGAAACTCAATGTAAGCTGGAAGAACAATACCTCATTTTCCGCTTGGGGACCCTGCAGCCCTCCGGACTCAAGATTGAGTTCAATAATTTTAGAGCCTAAACTCTTCCATTTCATAGGCCCCTACCCCACACACCAAGCCTTGTTATCACATAGCCTGCCATTACACACTACCTATTGTTCGTCACTAACAGTCCCCATTAAGAAATATTCACCCTCCTAGCCAGATCATTATCAATTCCTTTGTTTATCCAACTGCTCTTCTTTCTCTCTTTGGGCTCTATTCTATCGTTTATTCCCTAACCCACCCCCCTTCCTATTTTCTGTATATAAATCAATGTTTTCCCAGCTACCATCAGTTCTGAGGAAGGGTCACTGGACTCAAAACATTAACTCTGACTTTTTCTTCACAGATGTTGCCGGACCTGCAGAGCTTTTCCAGCAACTTCTGTCTCAGTTCCTAATTAACAGCATCTATAGTTCTTTAGGTGTTTATGAAGTTTTGATGATTGTGCAACACTC